CGGGAGCTCGTTGTAGGTGGTGGTCCCTGGGGACGCGTCTTGGCCTGAACAGGGCTGGGCACAAGTACCTGTGTGTGAGCTCTGGGAGCTGTCAGCCTTCCTGCAAGTAATCCCGCCGGGAAGATCCGAGGAGCTCGGGTTTGGCTGTGGTGTGAGACAGTGGTGGCTGGATGCTGGGGAGGACGCAAATGAAGTGGGGTGGAAGAAGATGGGTAGAGACACTCAGTTTCTGGTGAGGCGAGGCAACGATAGCAAACTGACAGAGCGCAGCCGAGAGCCGGCTCCTGTATGAAGGCGCTCACGTTAGGCGGGTAGACCCGGCCGTCGGCAATGGCCGTGTGGTCAGCAGAGAGCGTTTTACCGTTGGAGCGTTGGGTGAACATCCACTTACAGGGCAGGCTTCACGTCGGCTTCCTTTTGTCCTTTTCTCTGTGCGTGTTTAAATACTTACCTGAGTAAGGTGTGATGCTTTTAGAGGCTTGACAGCTTTCCGCGCTTGACACGCAGAATCATTTGTACATCCCATTTCCATGGTGGGAGGCGTAAAGCTAGGGTGAACTGAAGCCTGTTTCTGATGGTTTCCCAGGGGAGGCAAGTGTTTTTGAAAACATTGCCCAATATGCAAAAGTAAACACTGGCGAGAAGAGTTCCTGTCTAAGCCCTGTTTAATGTAACATGCCCAATTTCGAATTCCTTTTTTCAAAAGTTTAACTACAGAGCATTGTGGCTAATAATTGCTAAAAAACACTCCGTATCGGGAGAAGTTCTTTTGCCTTGCATCTTGTCCTGTGTGAAGAGGTAATATAATTTGTACAGTATTTGTTTTAGTTCTCAATGCTCTTCATCAAAAGCATGATTTTATTTTTTTTTTTAAACTCTGAAATGGGATGCTGAAAATTTCATTCGGCACCGTAATCATTCATGGAGTGTTGTTTTATTTAGAAGCTAAGGCTAGCGGGTGGCGACAAATGCCGTATAGCTCATGCACTGCGTAGTGGGGATGAATAGCTATGCAGTACGCGCTATTCCAAACAACTGTTGGACCCTAGACATTTTGGGGTTTAGAGGAGACGTGAAAGATTGTTGGAGGTGCAGATCTGTTTTTGAACTAGAGAGGTGAACTCTCTGGTATTGTTAAGGGAACCACTTGAATGCTTGCTCTCATAAGGTCATCAACGCAGAAAAAAAATTATATAAATGAAACTTCATCTCTTGTTCTGTCAGGAAAATTCACCGAGATACGTTAACTTTTTTTCTCCCCCTTCTCACCAAAAATTTTTACTTGAAGTGTCATATTCTTGAAATAGTGGGGTAAAAAAAGTGTTTGTGATGCCTCTAGCCTTTTCTCGCTATTGAGATGATTCAGAGGCGAAGGAGACAAACTGTTCTGTAATTAAAAAACGGTGGAGTGAATTTCATTACAGTTGAAGGCAGTTTGGAAAAAAACTATATTTGCTCTGGTTTTAAGTAGATGATCTCCAAACGTATTTGAATTTGCGGTTAGAAGCTAAATTGATCTAATTATATACACAGATGCTGTGTTCATTATAGGTTTTGGAATACCCTAACCTGTGGGATCGTAAAACATGGATATAACGGAGGGGGAAAAAAGTTGGGCAAGACTTTTTCTAGGACTGGTTCTCTCTAGTTGAATGGATTGCTTAGACAAGAGTTTTTCCTGCTTAGTCTTCTTGCTCGAAGTGGGATCACAATGACACACGAGCCAAACATAGAGTAGTTCCGGTGGACTCAACGGTAATACCTGTGAGCAGTCCTAAGAGGTTTCTGAATGTGGGTGTATTGTAAAATACTTCCGGGTGCATTCAGCATAACCTTTATTCTGATGAAGCCACTGGTAGCATGTTGTGCTATGAAGCTACAGATCAGATCCCTCTCGTTCACTGGGGGTAATCTTGCTTATTCTTAAAAGTCTAGGAGAAACTGCAGATATTTTGGCAAAGGATAAAATAAGCATAAGGAAAAGAAGTGCACTTTGGAGGCTGTGGATTTCAGGGCAATATTTAATTCTTTCATAAAGCCCTTGCCCTTTATTGAAGCCCCTGCTTTCTAAAAGGTGCGTGCCCTATGGAGAGTCTTTCTTCAGCTCTCTCCTAATATATGTTTTGCATGGAAAAGCATCCATCAGTCCAAATGGTAAAAGATAGCAGATGAGAACAGTAGAATAGGACTGCAGTACTGCATAGTGCACACAGCGAACCTTTTGGTATCTCATTGCTATTCTCTTTCCCCACCCCTGTTTCATGCCAGTGCTTCCCACTTGCTGTGATTTCTTCATGCAAGTGGTATCAAATTTAAGTATTAGGTCTTCAGGGCAGGGCTGGTCTCTTACTCTGTGTATGTGACTTCACAGTGACATTCAGATACCACTGCCATATTAGTATCTTTTAGCATAAATAGGTAAAGTAAACCTTATAAAACTGTATGACATAACACAGATATAGAATTTTTCTTAAATTGAGAGCTCTTGTACCGCATTTCCAATGAACTGAAAGCATCTGGTAAAACCGTTATGCAGAGCTGAGTGCTGAATGGTTCTTTCATACATGCCTGTATCCTTTATTTGCATGCAAATACTCATTCTGCAGATACTAATGTGAAAAATTCTCCATTCTTCAGTTGGATTGCTTGAGAGTGCATTAAGTATACGAGGGCAAAAATCAGCGTGGTGTTACTCACTGCTCCTCTTTTCCCTTTTCTTCCCTCTGTTTCAGACTTCTCGCCCATCTAGTCAAAGGATAAAACAATGTGAAGTAGACAACTCATCTCACACCTGTTAATTCAGATGAGACTCCCTGAAACACATGGGTTTCTAAAATCTGTGTGTGAATAAACAAATGTTTTCTCAGGCACCAGGGCTGATTCAGGAATGATTTATGAGTAGCAAGGAGGGCTATGTGATGGGTAATTTATTTTCAATCTGACTGGACCTGCCCAGAATTTTTGCAAAAATGAAGATTTTTTTGTGCCTTATGCAACCTGTCCAAGCTGTCAGCAATGAAAAAGTTGCAGAATTTGTGGTGATCATAGATGCTTTCCTCCCAACAGATAATTATAGCTGTGACAAGAGTTACATTTATCTCAGATGATTTCTAAACCAACACTGTACATTTCAGAAAGGTCTCCGAGAGGCCAACCAAGGCAAAAAAAAAAAAAAAAAAAAAGGGGGTGGAGGAGAATCAAGTTTCTGACTTACTTCTGGAGACAGAGAAGAGGTATGAGGAAACAAGCATGTAGTTTTTCTGGAGAGATATGTAGGAATCCAGGAGAATTAAGTCTGATATTAAATCTTCATTATCAGAAGGTGCCACTGAAGTTGCAGCATTTTTTATTAAATCCTTTCTTCTTCTAACCTCTTTTCTCACCTGTCATTTCTTGACTTCAGTTATCAAAAGCTTCTTTGGCAGTCCAGCTGTGTTCCTTTGTTCCTTTTTAATATGGTACTCTCTTTTGCCTATTCTGTCTAGGGTCCAAACGTTTCCTTAGTTTGGAGTGTTTAAAAGCTTAAAACGGTGCAGTGCTCTCTGTGCAGGGAAACTATTTCACTATGTGGGGATGGTAGGGCAAATATATCTTAGGAAATGCGAAGACAAAATGAGTACTCAGAGACCAGAATAATGCAAATTTCTTATGTACTTAAGCAGTAATTTTGGTAAGCTTCACCAATACTTATCCAAGCTTTGTTTGTTGTCTGTGTTACAGCAACATGTTATCCAAAATGCAAAAATGGTGGGGAGTGCCTCAGACCTGGAAAATGCAGATGTGCACCTGGCTATGGAGGTAGATACTGTCATAAAGGTGAGTAAAACGCAAACAAGTGATAGCTTGGAAAGACAAGAAGTTTGAAAACAGACAAAATTAATTTAGGACTCCTCAAGTCCAGGATCTAATGCTCTTTGAAATAATGACCTTATTCCTTAGACCTCTGACCTTCCTGTCAAAAAATGCATGCTCTAGAGGATCTGCATGCTTGCAGGAGAATAAGGTGGAGTATATGTACTGAAATTTGTTATGAGAATCTGAGAGAATTTGGTCCCTTGGAAAATACCTTGTTTATGTGTTAGGTAAATATTCTGTAGTTTAAATGCTGTTTAGCTCTATAACAGACTCTCTAAGTAATTGAATGCGATGACTTGTAGAGATACATAATTCTGTGTTAGGTGGTTGAAACTTTTGTGTAATATCTGCAAGACGGTAATATTGAGGGCAGGTTGCTAAAGATATGTATGGCAATGTATTGTTGATAGGTAATGGGAGATGACAGAGATGATGAGTAGCAAAGACCAATTTTTATGGTTTTGTGAAGCCTATCAAATATATGCATGAATTGGAAAAGGCAATCCAAGAAAACATTGTTGTGTTGTTCTGAACTGATCAGACTACTGATTATAACTTGGGTAACTTGGGTTCTGAGATAAAAGGGGAAGGAAACTTGAAATATTTGAGGGGAAAATGGTGTGGTAGGCAAGATATCCTCAGAGAGCGAAGGAAAAGAAAGCATTCTTTTCCTTTCAGAAGGAAAGCCTCAACGTGGCACTTAAAAAAAATCCTAGAAGTTCTTTTTGAACAGATGCTGGTAAATTAATTGGGTAGTCATCACTGTGCTGAGAACTTAATAAGCATTCTGTCTGACTGTGGTCACAGCAGTTAGCAACACCTCACAGGATTCTCTGTTTGTGCTTGATATTTATTCTGCAGGCATTTTCTTTATTTCCTTCAAATGTGAAATGGCTGCAAGAGTTTACTTGGAATGTAACCTAATGGGTACTCGGGGAAGGTACTCGGCTAACTTCTGCAGCTCTTTGGAGTCTTGTTGTTGTTGGGTTGTCTGTGGGCTTTTTGTTTTGTTTTATTTTTTAATAAAGCTGTATTTGGTATGTTATGAAGAAAGCATGAACTGAGTGTACCTAACTTGGTAACATCTGTTTAAGTTTGCAGAAGCTTAAACTCTAGCTCTGGGATGTTAACTAGAGTGAATGGGAATTCAACTGCTAGTGATAATAATTTGATATCAAATCAGAACTGTTAACATTATAAAGGAATAAGAAAGATAAGGAAGTGCCTTCTAATGAAGAACTGTATAACACAGTACTGTTGGGGAATAACTGTTCATTTTGAGTAGACATAACAGTGTTGACAGCAGTGAGGTAAACTGGAGCATGGTCAGCTTCATTTTCCAGCAAAAAGGTTTTGTTTTTTTTTTACTTCCTAAAAGCCAACTGAAAGTGTAGGTTTGTGGGGTCTTGATAGGCACCCCACAAGAAGGGAGAACTTCATCCTCTCAGAAGAGCCTAAGTCAGAAGCAAGGTGAGAAGTACTAATTAAACAGAAAAAGCAGAGTGAGGATTCAGTTTATGCTAATACTACAGTCTAAACTTGGATTTGTATCTGAGTAAAGGTCCTACTTTTATTTGTTATCACGTTATCCCTGTAAGGTAAAGGATGTGCTTGTGCTTACTGTTAAGGTGCAGTACTGTGGCATATGGAGCCTGGATGTTCAAACTTGCAGTGCGGTGCAATGTACTATTACAGAATCATAGAATCGCACAGAATCACAGAATGGTTGAGGTTGGAAGGGATCTCTGGAGGTCTTGTCCAACCCTCCTGCTCAAGCAGGGCCACCTAGAGCCAGTTGCCAAGGACCGTGTCCAGGCAGATTTTGAATTATCTTCAAGGTCGGAGACTCCACAACCTCACTGGGCAAGCTATGCCAGTGCTTGGTTACCCTCACAATATCCACTGCTCTCCCCTCATCTACCAGGCCAGTCATTTCATCGTAGAAGTGTATCAAGTTGGTCAAGCATGACTTCCCTTTGGTGAAACTGCTGACTATTCCTGCTGATTTTCTTGTCCTTAATGTGCCTGGAAATGGTTTCCAGGATCATATGTTCCATTACTTTCCCAGGGGTTGAGGTGAGGCTGACCGGCCTGTAGTTCCCTGGGTCCTTCTTGAAGATTGGAGTGACATTTGCTTTCCTCCAGTCTTCAGGCACTTCTCCCAGTCACCACGATCGATCAAATAGAATCAATATTAAATACATTAATTTATACTGTGTGACAAAGAAATATGCAAACAAGCCTTGAAGAGCTTTTCTAGCTGTGCTGGAGTTGACTTGCGTGTCCTTGTGTGTTCAGCATTTGTGCCAAAAATCCTTTAGCTGAAATCATGCTCAAAACTTGTGGCAGAACAGAGATTTGGGCTTTTTTTTTTTTTTTACCAAGTATCAAGCAGACATCCCAACTGTCCATCCTTATAATAAAGGATAGTTGTTTCTCTTCAATACAGTGAAGGTGGTTGTCATGGTTTAACCCCAGTCAGCAACTAAACAGCACACAGCCGCTCGTTCACCCTACCCCCCCAGTGGGATGGGGGAGAGAATCGGAAAAAAAAAAAGTAAAACCTGCGGGTTGATATAAAGACAATTTAATAGGACAGTAGGAAGAAAAAAAATTATAAAGTTATAAAAGAATATACAAAACAAGTGATGCACAATGCAATTGCTCACCACCCGCTGACTGATGCCCAGCCTGTCCCTGGGCACCTATTGCTGCCCCCTGGACAACTCCCCCCAGTTTATATACTGAGCATGACATCATATGGCATGGAATAGCCCTTTGGCCAGTCTGGGTCAGCTGTCCTGGCTGTGCTCCCTTCCAGTTTCTTGTGCACCTGGCAGAGCATGGGAAGCTGAAAAGGCCTTGGCTAGCACAAACACTACTTGGCAACAACCAAAACATCAGTGTGTTACCACCATTATTCTCATACTAAATCCAAAGCACAGCACTATACCAGCTACTAGGAAGAAAATTAACTCTATCCCAGCCAAACCCAGGGTGTTGGTGTATACATTTACATTCATGCTTGTGAAAGGATGCATTTGATTGTACAGAACAGTGATTATGCCATCTTTCAAAGATGGTGCACACCACAGTTGATACCAATCATATGTCTGGCATAAATAATGCTTCATTAATGAAGCCTTCAGGGCTTTGATGTGTAGAACAATTCTGGAATGAGGAGGCTGACTTAGATAGTTGGTCTTTGGGAAGGCACCACTCAACTTGACTATAGTCATAGGTTCATTTGTCAAAATAATGTCCCCTTCTCTTCTTCCTCTTGTTATGCGTAGGTCCTGTCAGGCCAGGAAATATATGAATCCTTGACCACATGTTACTGGCATACCAGCAAGATCAATGAGAATATGCGTGTTAGTAGTTACTGTGGTGTAGCTGATGAACAGTTGGTTCACAGTTGGGGCAGGGGGGGAGCTGTGCCATAGTGATAATCACGTTTGTTTGTTGGTACTCTCAGGCTAAATGCTCAAGCATTTAAGCACATGTTAAATTTTAACAGCATTTTGAGTTGGCATTTGCAGACATGGTTCTTTCATCTTCACTCACTCCTTATGGAACTGTGCCTTGCTCTGAATAGTTGAAATTTTAGTCTTTGCAGATGTGATAAAACAAGCAGTTGATGGTAGACCAGCTGTTTAAAGATAATTATCTGAAGTCCTATGCTGCTTCTGAAATTCACTGCGTATGCCGTTCTTCTGCAGTAAGCTGTGAAGGAGGCTGTCAAAATGGTGGGGAATGCATCTCTGTCAATGGAGTTGTGAAGTGCCTTTGTGCTTCTGGCTGGACAGGATCAAGATGCCAAGAAGGTGGGTATCTACATTCATGAAAATATATATATTGATTCAAAATGTAACTGCAGTAAGAAACACATTTTAAAGGTATTAAGAGGCTAATAACTATGGAAATGTCATTGGGTTACTACATTACTAGAAACGAAGGACCTGCATTATTGGAACATACTCAGATAAAATAGCGTCAAATTATTTTGCATTAAAATGTACATCTGTTAACATTTAAACCAGAATTCTTAACACAGTACATAAGTATTTTTTTCCATTTTCATGGTCCTGGAAACGCCTTTAGAGTTATACCAGTTGAGTATCTGGCCTGGAAGAAAATGTGTTTTGCCATTTTGATTTGTATCATCCTGAATCTTTCATTCTGTCAGGATTCTCTTGTATCAGTTTTATAAATCCTGCTGACTTACCCATTCTTTTCTTCTAGCAATTTGTCCCCAAGGTTGTCGGAATAATGGAGCTTGTGTGGCTCCTGGGATTTGTAGCTGTCCAGCTGGATGGGTCGGTGGGGCATGTCACTTAGGTAAATGACTTCTGACATTTTTCGTTTATCCTTTTCTCTGCTTGTTGGATTTACCACTATAGCGTTCAAATCTTCAGTGCCTAACAAAGCTGCTAGGAAAGTATCTTAGAATTGGAAATGAGAGCTGCTTCTGCATACTGTGGATCTTACAAGTATGCATAAGGAATTCTATTCTATTTCCAACTTGATCAGAAAGACAGAACTTTTCCACTTCTAAGTAAATTCAGATTCAGGTTTTGATTGTCACCAAATTCATGACTTGGTATGTCTTGTCAGTATTTCTGAAATATTTTCTATAAACTGAGACCCCATTACAAAGAACTGAAAATGGCCATTACAGAAACACTATCACTACTGATGTGGGTTGGAAGCTTCATTAAATTTTATGGACATGGAAAATTGAAACTTGCTTCTCCCTTTGAGGATAAGTCGGCAGAATCAACTTCAGGTGCTCTTAAAAAGAGTAAGAGGAAGCTGGCTGTAATCAGGATTAGTACTGACTGACATTCTTGCTGAACGACTTGTATTTTCCCAAATTTTGATTCACAAAAGCAGATGATGATTATAAAAACTTTAATCTACTCTTCTCTGGCAGGGCCTTGTATGCTCATAACAGCACTGCCTTGATGCTAAAGGCAATAATCCTGAGACTGTAAAAAGGAAAGTGTGGTGTTTTTTTTTTGTTTGTTTGCTCTCTGGGAGACTGAGAGAAAGGTCATTTAAATATTGCTTTTGAACTGGATATCACGGGTGCAAGGTCTCTGGATTAAGTACTCTGCATTTGAAATTTTTGTGTGGCTGTGGGGAATCCAAATCAGCTAGTGTTAGTTCTTCTGCAATATATATAGTCAAGCAAACATTAACAAATAATATTTTAACATTCGCATTTGACCAGCAGAACGCCTATCCTTTATATTCATCAGTGTATCGAGATAGAGGGTGATATTAAAAGGTAAGTACGGGAGATGCCGAGAACATACAAAATGCTTAGCTCCATTCCCTGCACCAGCAATGACAACAGAAGTGTTCAGGTTCTTAATGTCAAAATAATCACTGTTCCTGAACTAACTAGATCTGCATCCAGCTTGACTTCTGTTGGTACAGGTGCTCATAAGCAAATTACAGCCCCTGGCTTGTTACCTGAATTGGTGTGTAGGTAAGGGACAACTAAAGCTGTGCCCACTCAGTCTTCCTCTACTCTTCTCTTGGGGGAGTGGGGGAACAGAAGGGCAGTGTGTGAGCAACAGCTAGGATGTGGCAATGGTTTCCTCGTGGATGTGGATCCAAGAACCAGCTTGAGTAAGTTTCAGCAG